AGGGTAGCTACTATAAAAACAAGACAAAAAAACAGAAAATAACAGGTGTTGGCAAGGATTTGGAGAAATTGGAACCCTTGCACTGTTGGTGGGAATGTAAAATGGCATTGCATCTATGGAAAAAAGTATGGAGATTCCTCGAAAAATTAACAATAGAACCGGCCTCCCATCTAGGAATCCCACTTCTGATATACCTCCAAAAGAATTGAAGCCAGTGTCTCAAAAGGAGCGCTGCACACCCATGTTTTTAGCAGCACTACTCACAGTAGCCAAAATGTGGACGCAACCCATAAAACAGAATTCCATTTGATCTTAAAAAAGGAAGGAAATTCTGGCACATGCTACACATGGATGAACCTTGAAGAAACTGTGCTGAATGAAATGAGCCAGTCACAAAAGGACAGCTACTGTATGAGTCCACTTACACAAGGTGTCTAGAGTGGTCAGGTTCATAGAGACAGAAAGTAGAATGGTAGTTGCCAGAGGCTAGGAAGTGGGAGTGGTTTAAGGGGTACAGAGTTGAGAACTGTACCCATTAAACTTTCAGTTTGAGACGATGAAAAGAGCACTGGAGGCCGGGCGCGGTGGCTCATGCCTGTAATCCCAGCACTTTGGGAGGCCGAGGCGGGTGGATCACGAGGTCAAGAGATCAAGACCATCCTGGCCAACATGGTGAAACTCCGTCTCTACTAAAAAATACAATTAGCTGGGCATGGTGGCGCGCACCTGTAGTCCCAGCTACATGGGAGGCTGAGGCAGGAGAATTGCTTGAACCCAGGAGGCGGAGATTGCAGTAAGCCAAGATTGCGCCATTGCACACCAGCCTGGCAAGACAGCAAGACTCTGTTTAAAAAAAAAAAGAAAAGAGTTCTGGAGATGGATGGTAATGGTGGTGGCACAGTGTGAATGTACTTCATGCCACTCAACTGTGCGGTTAACAATGGTTAAGGTAGTCATGTGTTATGTGTATTTTGTTATGTGTATTTTACCTCTATAGTCCATTTTAAAAGTTTCCCTTGTTGGACTGAACCCTATTCACACACCGCATATTGTGAAATGTTAACTCGAGACCCTGGCTGCTTTGCAGGTATGTTCAGCTTTGTGTTTTAGCGGTTGTGACTCTTTGCCCAAATAGGATTTTGTTTACTTGGCTGCATCCTGGCAGACTGAGACAGGGCAGGTCATGATTTCGCCAGAGTTCAAACCAGTGCTATTTTTAAATTTTGCACACTTCTCCCAGGTCGAAGGCTCCTGGTATTTTGGAATGAGGGCAGTGTGAAACTGGTAAAAATCAACAGATAATGGCTGAGAATTTCCTTCTACATATGTCTTGTAGGAGATGAAGTGACGAGGGTATGACCTGCTGACTGGAATGTTCCTGGAAAAAGTTGACCTGTCTGAAAATAGAAAGGATTGGAGGACTGGGAAGGACTGTGCTCAGTCTACAAAGTGTGGTCTGGGGAACATTAGATTAGAAGTGTGTCAGGTGTATTTATCCAGCCCTGCTCGAAATCTCTGCACTGGGCGCCAGTTCTTTAGAAAGCCATATCTATGGAGAAGCGTTGTGTAGTATACCTCATGAGGCTTCTGCAGCTCAGTAGAAGTTTCTCTTGAGGGAACCTGGCTCCCTTTGCCTTAATTCTTCGCTAATCAAGCAATCTTCTGATCTTTAATTTGGTCCCCTTGGCTGGACCTGCCCCTGCTGAGGCTGTACCCTACATTACCCCCCTGCCCTGATCCCTGAGTCAGGCTCGTCTCCATTGTAAATTAATTAATTGGTGTACTGGCTTTTAAATCAGCCTCTTGTGGGTTTGGATAAACAGGAATCAGTCCCCTGAGCCTGACCAGCTCTGAGTAACTGAGAAACGTGTGTTTCTCAATCTGAGGTTGTCTCTGAACAAGACTTTGCCTCAGCAGCCTGTGAGATTCCATCTCTGTATCTTTTCTTATTCTACAACTATCAGGAACACTGGCTATTGGGTGCAGTTGCCATCTGGCAAATTACTAGACCAGATAATGTGTGCAAAGAAAAATAGACTTTCATTTTAACTGGTATAATAAAATTTTATTTATTTGGACTAATGAGGTTAGGCTTGGCTGATTTAATGAAAAGTATGAATTACTGAATTTGTAAGAAGGTGATCACATTCAGATATATTTCATAACTGAAACTGAGCCATCTAATTATTGACTAATAGAATTCTAACTTTAAAAAGTAGATAGGCAGATATGTAATTAATGAATCAAATCACTAGCCTCAATGGCCCTTTGTTTTTCTGACTTGTTTAATATTTTGGAAAACAATGTGTTTTCTGAAGCCAATCACTTTATCTTCTCTAGAAAATTAATTTGCTGAGGAAGTTACTTTTTCCATTTGTGGGTTTAAGAATAAACTTGCACATAAAGTAACATTGTAGAGGCCAGACATTATTCCAGTGAGTATCTAAAAAGTTCTAATGAACATGGTCCTCACTAATATACTTTTAATGGGGTCTCTAGTGGAACAAGAAGTAGAGTGAACGTTCTTTCTGAGTCTCAGGGCTGTGAAGTATGTGCCAAGGAATAAGGGCCAGATGTTTGCAGGTTCAGTGCAAGAGAGTGGGGCCAACCATAATTACCTTAAAACGAGTGTCAGCACTCCCCAGGAAGGGACCCAGAGCCCTAGAAGAGTCACTGTCATGTACCCAGCTGGTGCTTCACCTAGTTGCTCCTGCTCTGAGCTGAGTCACTCTGATTTTAAGTTCTATAATTTAGGTATATGTGTGTAAACACATTACTCACACACATGGGACCTCTAGAAATAAAAAAAAATAGTTTTAGTATAATGAACTTTTTAAAAAATAATTAAGCTGTCAAAAGGAAGAAATTGAAATTAAAAATATTTATGATTCTATGAAAGACAGCTTTGTCTGAGCAATTAGAAAACTGGACTGGAAATATGAAGCCTTGGTTTTCCATTCTAAATCTAACCAATAACCATTAACTTGAGTCGAGAAATAATTTTGCACTCCCATTTCTTAAAATAAAAACCTATATATAATGTCATGGCACACTATTAGAATCCGGCTGTCCAGATTGAGGTTTTTCCCAATTGGATTAGGCGTCAGTACATTGCTTATGTCCAACAGCATTGTTTCTCTTAAAGTGGTAATCCTGAACCAATGCAAACTGAAAATTATTCCCGCATAGCTGAAGTAGTAATACATAGCTTTATCTTTTGTAATTTTACATTGCTAATTTGTAACTAAGAATACAAACTAAATTTCTACTCTTAACAATGAGAGTGGAACAGAGTGATAAAAGTGAGCCCAAGGTTTATCAGTTCTGAGTACAACATCTATAATCCTGGGCCCAGAAATATAAACCCTCACCAATGGATGGATTAATTGAATTTTTCACTTAATGCATGTATAAAATAGTAACTTAAGGTATACAGTGATTATAAACCCTTGAAATATTCAGATATACCCCTAATTTAAAATATGTATCAATTTAGGTATAGAATTGTCTTATATTCCCTATTGTAATGTGGATAACATTGATTTCTAATACATGAAGACTTAAAAAGCACCAGTCAACCAAATGGTTTCTGTAAAATAAGGAAAAAAACTATATTCACAACTCAGTATTAAGGGATGTATTTCCTTCCATTTGTCTCTATACAACCTACTTCTGGGATAGTCAATGCTTCCAGTAAAGCTTTTAGAAAGCTGGACCAACTATCACCCTGAATTCTTGCTATGTAGATCATAAAATGAAATTATATTTGCAAATCATGATTCTGACTGGTGATAGAAAGAAATGATGATGGTTATGAGAAGTCAAACAGAGGAGAACTGAGCAGATTACTAGTCCATAAAGTTTCCCTTTATCTTTAATAAAAGGCCTGGTATTTTCCAAATTATGTCAATTGTTAAATTGTGAAAGTGGGGAACAAATCCTTATATGTCTGATTATAGAAAACCAGGAGAGATTAAAGAGCAAAGGAATCTTTAGCACAGGATTTCACTGTTCTTATATTTTTACATCTTTTAAAATTATGTTTATATTTTGGCAAAAATGCATACCATAACATAAAATTTGGCATTTTAACCATTTTAAGTGTACAAGTCAATGGCACCAATTACCTTCACAATGTTGTATAACCATTACCACTACTTATTTCCAAAATTTGTCATTACCGCAAACAGAAACTCTATACCCATTAAACAATAACTCCCCTCAACTCCTGTTAACCTCTAATCTACTTTCTTTTCTCTATGAATTTGCCTATTCTTGATATTTTCATAGTTTTATTTTCTAATCTAACCTTGTTTCTTGTCCTAGCTAGTGTTTCAGTTTGTAACCCTTATAAACTAGGGAGATCCGAATGATGAACAGGACATCCCCTCAGAAACCGCACCAAGAGGGAAGCCTTTCTTTGCCCCTACCTGTCCCTCTGTCTCCCTAGAGAACACCTGGTTTGGTAGGATGCAAAGGCTGCATGTCTGCACTAGGGGCTCAGTGAGAATCCAGCAGTGCGAGCTCATCCTGTGTCAGTGGAGGGGAGCGGGGGCTGGGAACCTGGTTTGCCTCTGGGTATGGATCACTCCGGGGTCACCTCAGAGGTCTGATTTCGGTTGGAGTCTCTGAGTATCAGATCTTCCCCAAAGTGAGCTGAGACTAGCTTCTTCAAGGCTGTTCCAGACTTGTGTGCCTCCTCTGACCGCTCCACATTTCAGAGCTCTGTCCTTAGGACTGGGGTAAGATGGTATTTGGGCCCCCAGAATCCATCAAGTGATCCCCAAGTGTTCACTGAACAAGTGCCTGCTGGATGATGGCATCTGTGAGACTGTCCCTGAGATCAGTCACTCTGAGAACTTGCTGTCATGGTGAATGGAGGAAGCAGCTCCTCTCTGCAATACCAGCATTGCTAGTGGCCTCTGAGAGCAATTTTTGAAGGCAAGGTAGATGTGGAAGTCCAAGGGGAGTTCTGGGGATGTGAGTGGAGGGATAGCAGCCTGGATGAGGGTCCTCAGGAGCACCTGCTCTGAGCCATGGTGCCTTATGCTTCTGTCAAGCCAATTCTTTCCTTCCTTCTTGCATTCATCACTCATTTCCTCAGTTCCTGTCCCTTGCCCGGTATTGGCGAACAGACATACTCTTCACAGACCTCACAGCTTATATAAGGGGCTGCCATTAAACAGGCAAACAAACAAATGGGACTTCATCTGGCTTGGATGTCCGTCCTCTAGTTTCTACCATGCAAAAGCGGCATTGATCTCTAAGGTGGTAACAATGTAAAATCTCATTCACTTGGAAAATGTCTCACCACCCACAAACCTGGATGTAAATGGTGGCTCTATGAATAAGAACCAAACATAAACCTTTTATGTTTATTCATTGAAGGTTATGTTTTCAGTTGACTAAAATCGTTCTAAGTTCCACTAAATAAGATAATTATAGACACTTAGTATCTCCAAGGAGAAGGGAAGGTTATGTTCTCCTGTAAGTATAATTGTATTCGTTTCAAGGGCCTATGTACATCTAACAGGGGAAAGATGTTTTTCCCATTAATTTCTAAGCAGTTAGGAACTGCTTAGAAATTAAAAGAAGTTAAAACTTCTGTTTTTAGTTAACTTCTTTTTATATTAAAGCAGGAGCTCCCTCTAGCAAGAAGAATCTCTCTGGGGTACCAGCACACCTGGTTCCATCTCCCAGGCGCTTGGCGAAACTGCAAGCAGATGGCCAGATGACAGAGCATCTCTCTGGAACGCAAATTCATGCCAAGGACCTAGAAAATCAGAGCCTGACTCCTGCCCAGAACCAACAGCTGGCTCAGGGTGGAGAAACCCATCAAAAAGAGCTTTCCCCTGACAGCCGTCTCAATCCTGAGCTTCCTCAACACCTGAGCTCATCAGCCCTGGGGCTTTCTCACCAGGCCCAGGACCTAGCCCTAAACCCAGTGGAAGAGGATGTCCGACAATCAGATATTCCTCCAAAACAAATAGCCACTGAGACCGATGTCCCTGATGTGAAAGCCAGTGAGGTGGGGCAGACTCCGGTCACCCCTGCTCTGGCGCCTCCTGCACACCCTTCCCCTCCCACCTCTCATGGCCCTCAGCCAGGCCAGGACGAGGAGTCAGGGGAGGCCCAGGTAAGCCCCACTGGCCCTCCCCTGTCTGAACCTACACAGGGACCTGGTCCCACTCCCCTCAGCCCTCAGAGAATTCAGGATGAAGAAACTGAGTCAGCCAAACTTCCACCCAGCAGTTCCCACCATGATCTTCCAAAAGATTCTTCCCACCCTGACTCGGTGCAGAAACCTGCTGGAGATTCTCAGCAAGCTCTGAAGGAGGAAACCTCCAAACCGGAAGCCATCCGGGTCAGTACCCCTTACCCAGCATTGCCACATCCCCAAGACTTAGCAACAGATACCAAGCAGGCCCAGGCCAGGGAAGCCCCAAGGACCTTGCTTCCTAGAAGCCGGCTGGCTCCCACACGGCTGCCCCAGCCTCAGATGCTGGCTCCCCTCCAGAGCAGGAGGCCCACCCCCAAACTCCTATCACCCAGCAGGGAAGAGGCTTTAGGAGCAACCTCCAATCAAACCATGACTGCCTCTCCCAGGCCTCCACCAACCCAGGAAGCGGACATGAGTAAACTGCCTCCCATCAGCCCTCCCCACTCAAAACCACCGGCAAATCTGAGCCCCCAGGAAGCCCACAGTCCTCAGCAAGTCCAGGCAGAGAAGGTCAGTGAGGTGAAACTCCCTCTGATCAGTCCCCCCAGCCTTGAACAAGCAGCATCCCCAGTCCCACCCAGGAGGAGGCGGCTCAGAAAGTGAGGCTTCCTTGCATTCCTGCTCCTCTCCCAGAGCCACAGCTGCCCCAGAACTCCGGGATTCAGACTGATCCAGGCCTGCAAAGGAAAGGAAAGCTCCCCAAGGAGGTGACTCTCCAGGAGGAGGATTCCAGACATGCAAGCCTCACCCATAACCAGGGGCCCCTGCAGCAGACAGGGGCTAGAGAAAAAAAACTCTCCATCCAGAAAGGGACAGCTAGAGGACTGGCAACCCTGGAAGAGGCGCCGCCTGGGAGCCGCCAGCCAGCCTCACAGCTAGAACCCCACCGTCAGCTAGGGCCCGCCATGGTGCCTGACCATCCCAACCCCAGCGCTCCTTTGAACCCGGAGAGCAACCAGAGACGCAAAGTCCATACACCAGAAATTCCTGAGCCACCCCACGCTGAGCCATCACCTAAAGACCCCTGATTACAAGAAGAGAAAAAACAACAAATTTCAGAAAAAGGGCCCATACCAACCTCCTCACAAATGACCTGGCTCAGAAGGTAGATGTGTCCAGACAAGGGCCGTCTTGGAAGAGAGATTTTTGGAGGATTATCTAAAGAAAATAAAACTCCCATTAGCAGCAATCAGCCAGCTCAGGAGGGCCAGCCCCCAACGGGAGACCCCTCCAGGGGGAAAAGGCCCCTGCGGAGTCGCTTCAGGGCAGTTCAGCTCCTATGGAGCATCCAGGGAGAAAGAGACAGGTTCATCGAAAGTGCAGGTCTCGGAGGAGGGAGATTGCTTTACAACCCTCAGAGCAGGACAGCAAGCCCTGCACCCAGCAGCCTGTCAAGACACATCAGCCTATCAGGGGAGATGTCAGGCCAGAGAGAGCTCTGTTCAAAGGGACAATGTACTTGCTTCCAAACAGCAAGCCAAAGAGAAGTGAACCCGAAAACATGGGGCAGTGCCACAGAACCAAAGCCCCCCTTCTCCCCAGAACCAGATGTTTGCTGAGGAGTAGGGCAGCCAGGAGGGAAGACTGCACACCAGGGCAAGTCAGAGCCCCGAGGTTTAAGCCACCCCCGAAGCCACCAGCTCATTAAGGTCTGGGAACACCGAGGCAGCACCGTTACAGAACAACCAGTGATGGCTGGGTGCTATGAGTCTTCACACTGGCTTCATCCTGACCCCACGGTCAGCATAGGTGGAGGGGCCGTTCAGCGCTGTCCAGACCTTGGATTGCTAGAAGGCAGGCAATCTGCACTGCTGTGCCTCTTCTGTTGTTGCTATTGCAGCCTGGAAGAGCAGCTGTTGCAGAGGGATGCAGCTCTATCAACTGCTGCCACCGAATTAAGCCATTCTGGAAGGCTGGTGTCAGCAAGTAGCCTTTGTGTCCAGACACGAATCCAACCTGAGTTCCAACTCTGGCTGAAGCCAGGCCATATTGCCATTACGTTTTGTTCTCTTCATACGGAAAATTCACTTCTAGACTTCTAGAAAGTCCTCTCACCCCTCTTGCATTATGGAGGAGTTCCAAAGCAAAAAGAACTCTTGAGAAAAAAAGACGTTGTTGTTCCTGGAGGTTCTAAACCTACAGTTAATTTGTGGGAATCTTCTGTAGGAAAGAGAAAGTATTTTGAATGCATGATGCTGTGATCAAATGCTTCAGATTTGTCTTGGCAATATGTTGCCTGAAACTTACTTTTCTTTGAAATGTATTTCAAAATGAATACCTTCCTTCTTTCTCTGAACAGAAATCTCATGTAAATCAGCCCATGCCTTTATTATGTCAAACCATCTGGTTGAATCGATTAAAAGAATTAGTGGGGAGTGAATCAGTTGTTCATTTATCTATTCATACCATCAGGATTCTTTTGCTGGCAAATGATAGGAATCCACTCTAAGCCAGCTTATGTGACTCTATGAGAAGGGAGTAGATTTCATATGACCAAACTATGGGAAGGTCAGGGTTGCAGCAGGTCTCAGAGAGATTGGGGGCTAGTTGTGGAACATAACCAGGACTGTAGTCATCTCCTGGACTCTGGTCTAGGACTCTCACCACTTCTCATCTCTGTTTCTTTCTCCATGTTGGCCTCGTTCTTTGAACTACAAATGACTCTTATCAATTTCTGCACATGGCGGGGAACCTGGCCACCAGCAGCTCTCAAGCCCACATCTCATTTTACCTCTGGAAGCTCCCACTACTGTAAAGGGATTAATTTGAATGGATGTTCATTAATCCTAATCCAGGGAAAGTCTTATTGGCCTAGCTTGGTTTAGGCACTTGTTCTTAAACCAATCTACTCTGGCAGGGACCAGGATTACCTTTAGACATACCTGTGGAACCTACTCCTATGTATGGAGACTATACTCCCCCTAAAAAGAGGATAATTGTGACTAAAACAGACAACCTAAGGGGTGACTCTTAACAAGCTACAAGATATCTATTGAGCACTTACTGTGTTTGGTATCTTATGTTTAAAAATATAACTGATGACTAAATGCCTGTGTAAATGTATCTTATCTTACACAAAAGAGGTGTGTCCCTGCAACTATGAATTTCAAATGTTGTTTCAAGGGCAGTAGAGGAAATTGATATTTTAGAAATCCAGGTATAGAAATCCTCTTGCAAAATGAAGAGCTTATGTAATGCCAGTAACTACCTTCTGATTTATCTGATTTGTCCATAATGAAAATAATACAGTAACTTTAGAAAACATATCTAATAATGTTTTATATACAGTAACTTTAGAAATATTTAGAAAATAATACAGCAACTTTAGAAAACATATCATTTATTTATTTTATTTATTTATTTTTACTAAAAGTTCATTCATCCAACAGGCATTTATTGAGTACGCTCTATGTTCCAGATAGCGATGTTTGCTGGATAAGGTGAGATGATGAGGCTGCTTCAAGAAGCTTTGTCTTTTATCAAAGGAGACAGATTAGAGGGTTCATTATACTAATAACGCCATGTGATTAGGGCAGCTGAAGGCCCTACAGCGTGCTAGGCTATATTTTGCATCCTGCAGACAGGAAAATCCATTTGTTAACTTTTCCAGGCTGTCATAAGAATACCAAGGAAGGACACCGAATTCAGCCTGGGATACAAAAATTGGATCAGGAAACACTTCTAAGAGAAGGTCAGCCTTCAGCTTAGTCTTCACGGTTGCAGAATTAGTCAGCAGACTGATGGCAAAAGGTTTTCTTAGAAGAAGGAACCACATTTGCCTACGCAGAGGCACGCACAGGCATAGCATTTTCTAAGGACCTGAATGCCAGGAGAGATTCTAGGTCTGTGTCGATCCAAAGTGCCTTTTGTGCTACTCCAATGAGCTTGGAAACTTGATCTTCAACAATGGGGAGCCGCTGAATTTGTATCGTAGAGGCCTCTGTCTGGAGGAGGTATGTATAGAGGATGAATTTGAGGAGAGCAATTCAGGAAACAGGAGGAGCGGCTGGAAAGTTACTGCTGTAGTGCAGTAAATAGGGTAAGGCCTGAAATGAGGCCATGGGGACAGGAATTGTCAAATTAGGTAAATATTTAGATTGGATGTAGAGGAAGGCAGATTGTGCAAGAGAGGAAGAAAATTAAGATAATTACTCATTTTCTATGAGCTGGGTGTGGGGCACTTTAGCGTTGACCGTGTCTCATTTAGGTGAAGAATTTTAGAAATTTAAGATTACTTTTAGAAATGTATAATTTTCCTCTTTGAGCACCTGTTTCTGAGGCTCCTGAAGGCACTTGGGGTTCCATTTCCATTAGGGTACAAACGGGAAGTGATAAGCCAAGTTTTTGTGTCACTTCTTTGTGTTTGCGTTATTGTTTTAGCAGTGCACGTTCCTGATGTCTCAGATTCAGTGGAACTGGACCACATTTTGTTTGTGGTCAGAGGAAAGGAGTGAAAAGAATATCAACAAAAGGTTTTTAGTGCTATTATTGATTTTCTTGGTATAAGGGAAACTTCTGATTTTTACACATAGAATAACAAGGTTTAAAAGTTGCCGTTTTCCAGCTATATTTACAAAGTTTCTATCATTCCCATGTGATGTGTTGCTTAGCAAGGCGATCTTTATAGAAACAAAAAACATGGTGGCTTATAGTTACTACATTAGTAATACCACCTTCATCTCCTTTAAGGAAGACTAATATTCAAATCAATGGAGATAATAGTGCCACTTGGTGTGAAAGCCTTCCTCTAATATTTAAAGAGCTAAATCAGTTATTTCCAAAATGTCAAAAGAGAATCGAATGAAGGACATGAGTGGGAAATTCACAGAAGAGGAAATAAAAATGGCCAGTAGATATGTCAGAAATATTTAATCTCATTATTAGTTAAAACAGGATAGACTTTTTTTTTTTTTGTACTGAATTGGCAGATGAAAAACAGCTTAATGCCTGCTCTTGGTCAGGATGTGGGTAAATGCACTCTCTATGTCTCAGTAGAGAAAGTGAATTGGCACAGTTTTTCTGGGGCACAGTTTTACAATTTTCTGTCACATTTACAAGATATACAATTTTTTGTATATCTTCAGTCTAGTAATTTGAATCTGAGGATTATCATAAGGTAATCACTTATTTGTAGTGATGTTCATATCAGTGTATTTATGATAAAATCTAGAAATAATCTAGCTATCTAATGGGGTTTCGGAAATAAATTATGGCATAGCCATATGCTGGAATGTTATGTTGTCATTATAATCATGTTGTAGAAGAATATTTAATTAGAGGAAACTATTGATTTCATAGTAAGTAGAAAGCAGGTTAAGAAGGTAGAATCAGTGTGGCTCCAGTTATTAGCTCTGGGTTATGGATTATGCATAATTTTTATTTTCCTATTTATGCTTTTAGTATTTTATAAATTTTCTACAATGACCTATGGGTTTATTCAGAAAAAGTTATATAAAATTCAAACATGCATACACACACACACACACACACACACACACACACACACACACACAGACACTTTGAAGAGCTGTCATGCAAAAGCAATAGCCTTACATTCTATTTTGATTTGACATCATGAACTTTCTAAGAGTTAGAGGTGATTTGCAGAGGGACAGACTAGCTTGCTCCAGAAGTTAGATGCTCTGTTATGGGAATCTTACAGAAGGTCTTCTTATGTTGGGGGATTAGTTGAACCGGCTAAAACGTAAGATTCATTTTATGATCTAAGATTCACTTACTGCAACTGACTCCACTTGCTGGTTACGAGGAATCCTGTTTTATTAAATGTAGTGCTTAGTACTAGAAAATTGGATGTACTTAGTACTCCTTAGATATATG